TTTCCTAAAGAGTATTTTATATTAAATTTTCTTTCATCAAAAACATTAGCATTTCTACTTTGACGTTAATGAAAATAACACAATGATTGCATTATCAAGTTATTTTGAAACTAGCCCTGAGGGTTGATGTTTTTTATGAATTAGTTATTTGACCTGACACCACGGCTGATAGAAATACAGGCCTGGACGCTAAGAGTTAAAGTTCTTAAAGTTTTGTGTTACTAAAACATTAAAAAATTGATTTGAAAACCTTCCAGGCTCTGTTTACTTTCTAAGATTCTAATAAACGCTACACTGCAAGAAAAAAAAAATACTGCAATTTTTTTTTTTGCAGTATTAAGTTATTCGAAGATTTTTGTGTGTTATTTCAAATTTGAGAAAATGTACATTTTCATAATTTATAAAAATTATTACATATGTGTATTTTTATATAATTCTTTTTAGGTAGTATGTGATTTTAGTTATAATACGAAATGTATTCACTTTGTTTGTAAGTCTAATACACTGATTTAGCTAAGTTACCGTATCAGGAACTTTCAAATCTTTTAAAGTTTCTTTATAATATTTGCATTATATTCGTTTTTATGTAGGGGTAAATTTGGAACGACGCATTTTTTATAGTGATTATAAAACTACAAAATCTAAATAATCACAATTTTAAATTCTAGCTTAAAATCTAATAAAATTTTTATTGACTTTATTTTATGTCGTGTACTTTAGATTAAAAAAAATAAAAAACCTCATAGTTAGTTATATGTTTTACTATAAAAACCTCCTCCTCATATTCTGATACTAGTCCCCTTAGACCAACCATCAAATTTTCTTTAATATAGATTGAAAGAGATTGAACGCTCCCCGATTTGATAAAGCGAATTTACGCTAAATCAGAAGGCGAAGTTCTCTTTAGCCTTCTAGGAGAATCCCGGATAACAAGGAGCCGAGAGGCCCCTACGTTTGCATGTTGCCCCAGACGAGCTTTATGTCTCACTGCCCTTTATTTAATTTCAGCAACTACACATGGAATCTTTAGATTTCTGTGCAAATTTCCATTTCGCATAGGGGCATCTACCATATTCCGCAAAACCCTATTATTGAACGTTTGTATTCGCTGGACATGGATTTGTTTGGCACATCCCCACAACTGGACAACCAAAGCGGTTTAATAATTTGGTTGTAGAGCAGGATCTTATTCTGTATCGGCAATCTTGACTTGCGACCATTAAAAAAAATATAGCCGTAAGTTTTTTTTATTCATTGTATTATCATTTTTTACATTCGGATATGTTGCCTGACACGGTTGTTCAAAAAAAAATGTAGAAAAAACTCGAAAATATATTTAATCAAAATTATAGTTAAAATTTCAAATGGAAATTTGAATTTTTTATGTGTTTCTTAGAAAACTCCAAATTTCTGGTTTAGTTAATTTTCTTCAAAGAAAACTCGAAATGAAAATAGGGAAAAATTAAAATTTTTTACAAAAAAAAAGAAAAAATAAGATGATTCAGAAATGTCACTTTATAATAAATCCATTGCAGTTTTAACACATACATTCACAAAAAAAGCAGTGTCCAGCCTGGCACCCATTCTTTTATTTTTTGCTTGAAAATGTAGCAAACCTTCTGTATGGGATTTGCCTTTATAATTTCTTTTGTTACACATATGTACATATCATTGAGAATGTGACGCAGCTTTATAAAAGAACTGGGTAAAAATTAATTAATTGTTAAGAATTTAACTGAGTTATTTTTTAATTTTTTTCTCGTGAATGGGCTTTTTAAATAAAGGGAATAAATTTTAGTTGAGAAAATGTTTGTTAATATTGTGTACTGTACGTTAACTTTTTGTTTTACTTTTACATCAGTTGAACATTTGTTTTAGTCATCCACTCCGGCCCCGGCCTTTAACAATCGGATCTGCCGAAAATGGGATATACGAGTAGTTTCTAATTTACAATAAACATCATTTAAATTCAACATTAATAAAATGAGTTATTTTAGTTAGTAATGTATGTAAATGCAAATATACTACAGTTTTCGAAAATAAGAGATTCACATTTCTTATTATTTTAGCACGCATTCGTATTTTGAAACGTTTAGTCAGTTTAATCGTCTGTGATATTATTTATACAACACATATAAATGTTCGCCTGAGACATTTTTTTTAGGTAAATTCTGTTCGATCGCCAATGAAATGGAGAAAGTACATACATATACATTTTTTTGGTATTAAATTTTAGTTTGATTGTTTTAGCCATTGCGACAAAAATATTGTTATAAATATTTTATAGCACTTCTTGCAAAATTTTGAGAAATGTATTCTCTTGTTTTAATTTTACACTTACTACTGGTTTTGATACTTATTTTTTTTATTTTATCTTTTCAATGCTTCTAAACTTCTTAAGTTAGATTTTATTATCGGATTCGAATTGAAATAGGCAAGAACTATTTTTTTATTTATGTACTATATAAAAATTTCGCTTTAAAATTTTGTCACTTTTTTCAAAATTTAATTTTTTTTTGGAATTTTGACATAAAAAGTTAAAAAAAGCGATAATCATTATTTCTATCAAAGGACGTTGATAAATCAATTGGTGCATATCTTTAGCATAAGGTTTTAGGCTCCCCGGAACTACCGTATTACTTCAGCTGGTTGTTTTTTTACGCTCTCGTTTCAGAGACAATGTTAGCATATCTAGAATATATGATTATGACTTACTCTAACAGGTTTCTTACTGCATTTTATTTCAATACCCAAAATATATCTGGTCCCCAATAATTCTCCTAAATATCCGCAAATTCTTTAACGTCAAAATTTTGTTTTCAGTCTGCAAACTGTCTGACTTATAAAACTTTTACGGACAGAAATGTAGTAAATTTTTTACCCGTAATTGACTTTGAATTTTGATCATCCGTAAACGTCAAAACAAAAAAAAATTTTTTTTAGATTTAAAATAATTTTATACTTACATATTAAAAATTAACAAAAAAAATATTTTTTATATTATTTTTAACGAATGATAGTCACTCAATAAATCAAATTTATTTGCTGAATTACTACGTCAGACTGTCTGCATGTAAAAAACAAAATCTACAAATTTTGACGCTTAATTGACTTTTTTTAAACGTTTAAGAATTTAAGCTTTGACTGAAAGTAAAAACGCAGTAGAGTATTCGTAAACTCAACTTCGGTGATTTTGTAAAATTTGACGATTAAGAATTTACCATATGTTGATAAATTGTACTTAATTCTTAATTTGTGCTTATTAAACGCATTTCATATTTTGGCATATGTGAAGCAGCAAGAAATATTTGATCAAAACATGAGAAAAGAAAAGAACTGATTTATCGACTACCGGCCTGTAATCAATATTGCGTGATAGATTAGTAAAAATGTTTTTCATATTGACTCAGCAACTGTGAACTTTATTTTGAAACATTAATAGACTGTTTAAACAAAAAAGTAAAAATTCAATTTGTTGTAAAAGGGTCAATCTCCTATTATCCTTTAAACACATTTTCCTTAAAATGTTTTTAAGTCCCGCTTCCGCATTTCAGTTGTAACTTAACAAAATGTTATTGTTTTTTTCTCCTTTTTGTGTTCGCTATTAATTTCTATATAACTGAATATCATTTTCTCTAACTTTTCGAAAGTTTCAACTACTTCTACAATTAAGAAAAATTAAATTCTCTTGTATCAAAAGCGTTTACCGAAATCTAAAAAAAAACACGTATTTTAAGTGCTACTTAGTTAGAAGCAGCTCCTCCATTTCGCTTTCGTTCGAATATAAATAAAACTTCAAAAACACGATAAAATTTATGGTTGGTATTTCCGTCGTAACATAACTTTTGAATACCTACATATATTAGTTCATACACAGCATTTTTTTAGAGCATGTATTATATAGCCGCCGTAGGCAAAGTCCAGCCTATGGGCTGTCCGGGGTTCATTCAACTTCAAAATATGACCATCATATTGCTTGCAAGAGAAAAATATATCCGATTGCGACTACTAAAATTTTTTCAAAAAATTTTAAGAATTCAATCATAGATAATAGATATAGGAAATTTTCTATTTGTCAAAACGAAATAATCAATGAAGTCAGTTGAAAAAGTCATTTTTCTTATAAGTAGGTAATGTAAGAAACTCAAGTGGCCCATATTCATACTCACATAGTACATATTTGATCATAACCCAAAAAAGTTTGCCAACGACTGCTATATAGGAATGGAATCTAAGTCAAAGTAGCTAGATCAACTCAGTATAAAATTTATTTATATATTTAAAAAATTTGTAAGAATTTAATGAAATCCATATTGCAGGGGCAAATTAACACCAAAGCGTCACCAAAATTGGGCGTGCTACTTCGTCTTACTTTAATTCTTTTTCGACGATTTAATTTCTATACAAACTTAATACAAAATAAGTAGGAACATATCTGACACCAAAAATTTTGAAAATTTTAAAATCTTAAATACAGGTACTGAAGATGCAAAATATTGTAAAACGACGTAGCGCTTGGACATCACTGTTTATGTACCTATATGTTTGCATTAAAATAATAACAAAAAAATCCAAACAAAATTCGTTAGTTATTAATTTGTTCGTGCACAGGTTTGTAACGAGCCGGATGAAACAATGAGTTGAGTTATTGCAGGACCTTGTTAAAGTTTCGCAAGGCTCATGTCTTAATAATTTTTGTTTTAAAAATTTCTACATTTCATCATTTTGTTTAATCTAGCGGGAAGGTAATTCACAGAACTAGTTGCATCTACATGTTTTTTGTGTAAATTTTGTGTTTAAAAATACGGAAAGCAGGAATATTTTTAAACTGTAAGAAATTCGAAATAATTTTTATATAAATATTATCCATCATATTGTATGACAATGATCTAATTAAACTCGTTTTAATTTACAAACTTGGTACTCTTTTAGGTTTCGCCTTTAAGAAGTTTTGAGTGTATGGTTACTTTAAATTGATTTTATTGAACTTAAAATGTTACCTGTTGGGTATGGCAATCCAAAACTTGGGTATCCGGAATAACCGCGACCGGCAGCATATGCAGCATACGCTGCAGCAGGAAATCCTATATAGTAAATGAAATTATAATTATATTTTTTTATAATATAACATAATGAAAACAATTTTATAAAAAGTCGAAAAAAATAAATTAATTGAATTAAATATTAATTTTTATTCTTTTACAATTATACATTATATACCGTACCTTCTGGTAAAGTCCCTAGACCCCACATAATATTGTCTACGTAGGAGAAGCACATGAAAAGAGAAAGAAAAAGTACAGAAAAATAAAACACTACAAAAAAAAAGGACAAAAACAAAAAATTTGTATGCATCTAGAAAGCTAGTTAGTGGTATGTAAGTATATCAATATGCAATATTATTTTTAAAACAATAATATTATACATACATTGTATATATGTAAATATTTTGTGGATATGCATATATTATTGATATTTGAATGTGTTTACATATTGGAAATATAATTGAAAAAAAAAATTAATAAAAATATTTTTTGATATTAAAAATTTTGTAATAATCATGGATACAATAATTTATGAACTCCATGAATTTTTTATATTTGCAAAACATTCTAAAATTTTCAATTACTGCGAATACGCAAAAAAAAAAGACTTATTTACTTTTTGTTTTATTTTTTTTTAATAAAAGGACAAGTTAAAATACTTCCATTTTTAAAACGGTGAATAAAATTCATCTAAGAAAACAAAACTATAAGTTCTTTTTATTCTTAATTAATTTCTTTTCTAAAAAATCTATGTATGTATATTTTAGTATAATCTAATAAAATTTTTCTATTTAAATATTAAAAGATAAAATTGATAAATAAAATAAAACTAAATATAATATACTATATATATCTCTATGCACATATAATCGTATTATATAATTATTAAATATAATAACTATGTATATTTTGTTGTATATAAGCGCAAGAATGTAATTTTATACAATATATTAATTATCCAACTTAAACGGAAACACTTTCTATTCGAATAAATTGTTTGCTTAATTCAGCTTTTAATATAATTACTGCTTTTTTGTCCAGTCGATCAATTTTCATTGGACTTGAAAACGTTATTTTTGAGTTGGGTTGTTTTTGTCTGATAAAAATGATTGTGGATTTGAATATAGAAGTCCAATTACAATAAGTTGGTGTTAGAAATTTAATACTCGTATCAAAAGTTTATTTTGGAAATCAATTTCAAACATCCTCTATATTTATATATTCAAAGTTTAAAATTAGTGTAAAGATAATTATTCTTTGTTAAGAAAAAATATGTATTACGTAATATCGACTAAGATAATTTTTTTCTGAAAACACAAAGTTTCAGATTAAAGTAATAGCGAATAAATCTTATTTTATGTAGAATAGAAATTATTCAAGTGTATAAATCAACAACGAGTAATAATTTATTTATTTAGCAGGCTGCAAAAGCATTCCTTTTGTTGTCATTAAACTGTCAGATTAATGTTGAATTGAGATATAATAGTACTTAGTTTTACTTTTTTTCTCTGATTATATAATTTTCTAATGGTTTGAGTTTTTTTTCAAGTTTTATAAATGTTCATCGAAAATTTATCATCCAGTAAATTTTTCGTTGCGAAAAGTGACACTTTAGTCAATAAAAGTTTATTATATTCCTAAACAGTCATATATTAAAACGAAAATTAATTCAACCAGCATTATATCAGTATATCAGTTGAATATATATTTATGTATGATACATATATATATGTTTATATATCTACGTATATGTATATACATAAACGTAAAATAATTGTTCATTTTACAAAAATCATGACAGACAATTGTCTTTTTTTGAATTATAAATACGCACTTGAATAATTTAAACAAATATTTTATAACTGCAAAAGCTTAATTTCCATTTCTTATTGACGTTAATTAAAATACCTTGGGAAACAATATTAATTTTCCAGATACCAACTCCAAAAATTAAATCAATAAAATTATTCATATAACTTATAGAATAATATTAAAAATTTACAAAATTATCGATAATAAGCCAAAATTTAGAAACAATATAATCATTAGTATGTATAAATAAATTGATTAAAATTTTACGATATATATCACTTAATTTGTTGAAATGATAGTTGTTCCTACTTTGAGTATCAATTAAGTTATAGTGATAATTCTATTAAAAAGTTCGAAGCTATTATTGTAAACAAAAAAGAATTCATACAAATGATTTGTGTCTGTAATGAACTTTTCGAAACTTTTACAATAAATATCACTATCGCTTAGTCATTTGTTTCTCAGAAGAAGGTCCAGTAATTTTTTTTCTTTTAACAATGTGCATACTGATTGTAACATTTTATGTTTGCTACATAAACTATAATTTATACATATATAATATTTATTTTACTATTTCTAAACCTAATTTCTATGTTTATGTATTTCTTTTTCCACATTATATAAAAATACAAAAATTATATATTGATTTTCTCTAAAGAATATGAATGTATGAATGTATAAATATTATTAAATATATTATTTTTTCAAAACAATAATAATTTTATTTAATTTTTATAAGTATTCCATATGATCTGCTAAATAAAACTATTTATTAAAAAAATATAGTTATAATAATTAAATAAAATAAATGTTTTGTATATATAATAATTTCACACGCAACACGCACATTTACCACTTAAAGCCTATGTAAACATTGTTAAAAATTTTTTATAAATTCTCTATAAAATAATCTTTAAATTATGGAAAGTATAAATTACATATAATTAAAAAAAAATTAAAAAAATAACTCAAACTACAAATGAAAAAGATTAATTTAGCCTAAATCTAAGTATAAAATAATTTTGTTTTTTCAATTTATTAACACGCATATATGTATGCATATGTGTAGATATTTTCTTTTAAAGATTAAGAGTATTTCTCTTTCTGTTACAAACACCGATCAAGTTTTTTTAAATCTTGCTGTTGTAGTAAACTGGAATATTACATGTATTCTTCCATCCAATTTATGTTTGCTTTCTTCGAATTTATAGGCTGAGAATCACAAATTAAAATATCACAAAATTTTTTATTTGTTTTTTTTTTTTTTTTCTAGAAAAAAACAAAATAAAAACATATAAAATATTACAAAATATTGTTTTAACACTAAAGAATTTATTATATTATATAATCAATGTGATTGCAAACTAGCTCCGTTACTATCACTTTCACTTCTGTGAAAAAAAGTGATAAAAATTAAAAAATATATATATCGTAAATATGAGTGCACACCAAATTTTGGTTTGTGTTTATGTTAGATTTTTCACTTAGAAATTTTTTTTTTCGGTAATGATTAATTATTTTTTTCGAAGTTGTTAGTATAGTTCTTTGCGGCGTCATTTATGATTATATAATATCTTGGGCCTTATTCTAAGTTTAGAATTATTAAGTGGTGATATTTATCGTAAAAGTTCGAATTTTTTTTTTATTATGGACACGAATCATTTGTATGATCTCGTTTGTGTTTACGATAATATCGGACTATTTACGATAAATATGACTAAAATACTTAGTTATTCGATACTCAAAATAATCCCCATTGTAATAATAAAAAAAATCGTATATGACATTTCTAAATTTTTTATAATCCTAAATTATTAAAAAATATTAGTAAATTTTCAAATTAATATAAAATATGTAATCTAAGCATTATCTTCAGCTAATAATATTTTTCATTATGTTTTTGTACATTATTAAAATTTAAATGATAATTAATTTTCTGATATAAAATCTAATGTTAATGAACATTTGTTTCCTAATCATTTTTTATGTTTTCCTTTGCGGCAAATTATATTATTATTTATTTTAGAAGTTTAAATTTCAACCTATGGTTTTTATTAATATATTTTTATAGTCTCTATATAAAACAAATGTATTTATAATTAAAGTAATTTAATTACAGCTAAACAGAAGTATATTACTAAAATCTATTTTTATCTATATGAAATATATATGTATATGTATACACAAATTTATAAAATTGCCACTTTCCCTCCCTGGGGATTCTTTAGTTTGCACTTTTCTGTTTTTATTTTGCAACGAATTAAAATAACCATAGTTTATTAAAATGCGATTTGTGTGTAAGAATATAAACAATTAGTGTGGAATATGTGTATAAATTTCAGTGCCTTTACGTATGCAACTAAAAGTGCCATAGAAAATTTTTAAAAATGTTAATAATTTAAGATCAGTTATTATTGAAAATGTTAATAACTTTATTTTAAACATTTTTAAAATTATTGTGTTGTTACGATAGCAAATAAAGAAACAAATACAATTGAAAAACGAATTACTTTAATGCGATCAACGAAACAAAATGTAAATAGTAAAAAGAGTCAGAAACCTAATTACATATATATATAAACAGTAAAAGCCCTATGAAATATTCTAAACTAAAATTATAATTTCATTGCAACCAAAGTAAATTAAAAACACGTTTTACAATTAGAAAGAGAATATAATATAGATACAGATTTTATATGTATTTATAACTTAGTTTCCAGAAATAACCCAATTAGTAATAGCTTGAAAATACCCTGGAACAGGGTTTTAAACTTGGAATCTATGCGTCAGATTTTACGGAAAATGGGAAAAGTGGCATTATAAATTTTATCATTTTTGCTAAGTTACTTTTATAAACATATTTATAATAATATAAATTTTTTCATCTTTTTTAAAGTTAAAAAATTGTTTTTTTGTATTTGTATTACATATTGACAATAAAATAAAGTATAATGGTTCGTAATACATGTGTATTAAATTTCACAGCTCTGACATTGACATAAAATATATACATATTATAGAATTCAATTGAAACGATATTTTAAAAGTTTTAAGCATTGTGCCATTGAACCAAGCATTTTAAACTTTGTTTTATATTAATTAATAAAAAATTTGCAAAGTTTCTGTCACACCTTGAGTCAAACCACTAATGAACTATACAAATCAAAGAAGGACCTTTGTTTAAAAGTTAAAAAGTAAAGCATAGGCTAAAATAAAAGTGGTTGGTGCAACAGAACCCATATTGAGGGGACTCATATTAAAAAATTGAGGGGGATCTTTTTTAAGAGCTAAAGTTAAAGTTTCAAATTCAACACTGTTGTAAATGTGTTTTAACTGATTTATTGTGATTTATTTATAAACTAATCGTGAAAATAAAGGAAGATGACGCGAGGCAACAACCATATAAAAAGCATTAACAAAACTAAACATGTCTGGTTAGCGAAGCTTAGAATTTATAATATTTCTGATAAAGATAGTAAGATTATTATTTATATTTAAAATATAATAAATTTCAATGCAAGAGGGAAAACCATATATTAGGAAAACAGTATCTTATAGTAAATTTAGTATTGTGTTGGTACGGAATATTCCTCATTTTTAATTAACTGAAAATTTTATGTTAAAATTTTTGAATAGGCTGGCTATCCTAGTGATTATTATTAACGCATAGGTGTGATGTTTGTAAAAGAAGAATAAAAAGGTATAAAGACTAAAGCATAAAGACACTTGAACATTTTCATTTTCGTAATCAGTTCGACTTTTTTTCGATACTATGAAAGCTTTTAAAATTTTAGCTTTTTTTAAACTTATCAATATTTTCTCACATTTAAATTTTTCACAGAGTAGTCCTATACAAAATTTGGCATAAACAATTTGCATTTTATCATAAATGTATAATTAAGCAGTTTTAGTTAATGCTATAACTATGCATTAGAGTATATCTTAAGACTCAAAAAATAGAATGTTCTTACATGAATTTGGAACGAAAAACGTTCAAAATTCACATACCAAATGGAACTGCCGGTTTGAAGAGTAAGAGTAAAGTTACCATTAAATATCTAATATATGTATGTATATGTGTGATTTATGTCAATAATTCCGAAATTTTTATTACACTGTATTATTACACTATATACTTATATGCTATGTAATTCATGTACTCATTGTTAAAAAAAAACTAAGATTAAAATGGAATACTTAGCGAATCTTTCATTTATGAAGTATTTCAAAAGTATTATTTTTAAATTATAAAACACAAAATGCTTTTAAATTTTTTGCATTCAATAATGTTAATTTAACTAGTTTTTCGATTTAGGTCGATCGAAATCTCGTCGATTTGGCTTGTTCAGCAATTAAAATTGCACTGATGAATAATTCAAATTAATATCAAAAATTTTGGTAAAAATTTTTCCGTTTTTTTTATAGTTTTCGCTATTTATAATGGATAAATTTAATTACACTAATTATAATACCTAAAGTAAATTTAATCTAAAAACTTATTCTTCCAGTTTTAGTCACAAAAAAATTTCAGAACATCAAAAAATTTCAAGTTTCTCTGATTGGCTTAATTTTCTAAATGTCTATACCTCTAATACAAAGTACTTTGCAAATATGTAAACATACAATGATATATCTTTGTATGATGATAATACATACAATGAAATATCTTGCAAGTTAAAAGTAATTGAAATATTTTTGTTATTCGAAATATTCAAAAGTACGTTATGAGTATAACGTTTAAGAATATTAATTTTCAAATTGCGTTCAATTTGCTTTTCTTAGAGAATTACGATCATAAATTGATGAATAAGTCTAATAATTTATTGTAAATTTCAAACTATAGCAGGTGGTATAACATACACATTTCCCAGTATGTCAAATGCACATGATTCACGTTAGTTACGAGTAATTTCAATTAAAAAAGTTATTCTAATACTGTTTTAAAGTTTGTTAAAATATACATTTAAAAACAAAAACCAAAGCTTTTGTTAAGTTTCTTATTAAATAAAAATAAAAACTCTTTAAAGTTTATCTTGATAATTGTCAGTATTTATAATCAAATACATAAAATGAATCAAATTTAAAAATGTCTTCATGAAACTTCAGGACATTCCATGACTCACGAAATGACAAAACTGTTAGTAAGATCTGAATATTTGTACAACTTAATTTCAGTACTATAGTGGTCAGATTGGTTTCCTTTATATGTTCTACAGTTTTCTAACACTGATTAATTGGCACGTCTGTCTATACCTATAATTTCCAGAGCATATTTGAAATCACGAAATATGTATGTACGTATACGTCGCCAGCACGATTAAGTTTTTTTAGTTTTTTTTTTTCATTTTGTTTTTATGGTTAATGCATATACGTCAAATTTAAAAATACTTAACTACAAATGACATAATTACAATAAACATACTGGGAAACTCATAGTATAGTTCTTCATTTGCTATCAATCAAAAAACCTTATTTTGCAATACATATACTTGAACATAATTATACTTATGCAGGTTAATATAATGATAGCACGAACTGCATATGTTTAAAATTATGAATTAATGTTATAAATTTTATACAATATTCATGTAATTTTGCACAAATTCTTCACTTTCTTCTTTACTCTTCTTACAAACTATTGTTTTTATTACTTTAATAATGTAGAAATTTACGAATAGATTAAATTTTTTGGTAATATCTTTGTATGTTATATAATATGCTTTAAAGACCTATTGATACATCTATTTATATAAAGTATATGTATAATGTAACATATTAGATTGTATGGTTATAATAATAATAATGTTATTATAAAAGGAAAAATATATTCGATTAATTACGACTAAATATTTTCAAATAATTACAGTAAAATCTATGAAATGTTTACATTTAAATTTAAATTACAAAAGTTATTTAATAAATCGCTTAATATGGAAAATTTTGCATATATCAATTCAAATTTTTTTTCCTGCTTTTGTTTATAATTATTCACTATAATATACATATGTGTATAATATATTTTATACATAAAAGTTAAATTACTTTTTATTCAAAATTTAATTATTATTTAATCAAGAAAAATATTTTCTATATGTAATTTAGTTTTCATAAATTCTATATTATATAATTCTGAAAAATAAACAAAAACAATATTATAAATAATAATAAAAACAAAGATAATAAATCTTTATTTTAAAGTATTGTAAACAATATAAAATTACATTTCGAAAATCTAATTGCATGATATACTTAAATAATACTGTTGTTTATTTAATTTTTGGCTAAAATTTAACGTCCAAGAACTTAAAAAATGTGGCTCCGTTAAATGCAAACAATGCATAAAATGCACACAAATAACATTTGCGTATCTAGTTCTCTCGTTTTCTCTTCTATTTATGTAGGCCAGTGTACTTGAGCATGGAATAATGTAATTATACATAGCAGTTATTTCGAATAGTACACAAACATTATATGTGTATACTTATAAGATATTGTTGACTTTGTGCCAAATTTTTGTAAAAGCTCTTGAACACTCAACCTAACCTTACTCCTACCTACCACTCATCACTAAAATAAATCAACTAATGTCCTAAGTAATATTTGTTAATAATTGTTTCATTAAACATGAATTCATTATTTATAAGATGATTTTAGCGATTTTCTATAGCAACATAAACATAATTACATTAATAAAATAGTTTTGTTTTTTTTTAATATCCTACAATATTACATCTTTTTTTTTGATAAATTTTATCCACCTTATTTTCTAATCGGTTTAGAGAACGTTTATATAACGCTCATAATATATAGGCATAAATTATTTCAAATAAATTATTGAATCCATATTGAAAAGAACGGACAGACGTATGTTTTTACTGCTTGTTTAAATACGTTATACATCATTTTATGTATGTAAAATTTGTGAGTTTCTAAGGTTTTTATGATATAGAAAATGTTTTTTATATTTTAAAATAAATATATAATTTTAAAATAATGAGCGATTTGTTTCTGTACTATTGACTGTTCGAACCCTACTTTCATGTATGATAATTATAAAACTTTAGTAGTAAAATAAACTATACATACATATATGTATGTAACGGAAAATTTTATTGATTGAGCATTAAAATTGTGCTTTTAATAGCTTAATTGACCATGATAATAATAATATCACTTAAAAAACAATTGAACTATTAACCTTAAATGTTATTAAAGGTAAAAACAGGTAAGAAATTTCTTTAACCCCAAAAACTTGTTTTATAATGTGGAATTAAAATGACTTCAAAGCGTAAATTATTTAGTAATAACAAAATTTTTTAATTCAAATCATAAGAAACGTAAATTCCACTAAAAGCACACAATATCTTTAATAGGACTTAAGATATCGTGACGTAGGACTTATATCGTGTGGGAGACATTATAAGAAAACAGCCCTCAAATTAAAGACACATTTTGCTTATTAAACAGCTATATCATTAAAAAATATTAAAAAAATATATAAAAATACAAATTATATATTCGATTAAAATTTCAAAATGAGGGACTTCGTTAATACGTTGCATGTTTTAAAGTTCTGAATTTAATTGTGAATTCAATAAATAGAAATCAATAAATTCAAACTAGAACATTATTGCCGCCTTGGTAACTGTGCTATTACAGTTGTTGTTACAGGTGGTCATAGTCCTAAAGTGGTAGAGCCAGGTAGTTGATACAAGGTTGATGGCAATTCAAGACCTGGCAAACTTAACAAATCGCTCAAAGGATAAGTTAAAGCAGCTGTTGTTGCAGTAGCTGCTGGAGCAACATGTTGTTGCGTAGTAGTAGCAGGGGTTGCTGTAGCTGCATTAATCGGTTGTGCACGAATTGCGGATGCAGCAGCTGCTGCTAAAAGTCTTTTATAACCAACAATAGCAGCGGCGTCATAGAATGCTTGCTGTTGAACATTCGAATATTGCAAGAGAGTGGGAGTTGCAACAGCTGTAGGCGGATTAGTTGTATGTAATGGAATAATGGTGTGTGTTGGAGTAGAAGCTGCAGCTGCAGCAACGGCAGCCGCAACAGCAGCATTTTGTTGTTGTTGTTGGGCAGATAAATTTATTGGTTGAATTTGACTCTGCTGTTGTCCAGTCTGTTGCTGTTGAATTTGCTGTTGCGCTTGTTGTTGTGATTGTTGTATTGTTATTTGATGATGTTGGGCTGCTGCTGCAGCTGCAGCTATGTTAGCTGGTAATGGATAAGGTGCATAACGTATTGTTGATGTACCAGGTTGTGATGGTACATTACCAGTGGCAGCAGCTATCGCTGCAGCACCTAATGTGCTGGCAGCAGAATGATGGCTTACATGACCACCAGTTGTAGCACTTAGTACTACTAACTCACCATAAGCAGTTCGACCAGCCGCACGAGTTTTTGCCAAATTAGCTGGTAACATCACTTCTTTTGGCTGGGCTTTTTTGCATTCAACCTACAATTTTTCAAAAGAGTTGTAAGTTTTATTAAAATTCAATCTTAAGCTTCAACTTTTTGTAAGTTTTTACCATTTTATTATTTATTTCATGGAAATGAATTTCACAAACTTTGTCTACAACGTCTTCACTTTGGAACGTAACAAATCCAAAACCTGAAAATATTGCAAAGTTATGTGTATATTAATTTAGGCACAATAAGAGACTAGAAAAATTTCAAAAGAAATGTATTTATTATAAAACTTCTTCTGAGTAATCTTACAAGTATAAGCGACTTAATATAATATTATTTACATAGTTACTGAAGTTAAACAAAATGTTTTAATACAACTTTAGGTTATTTTTTCAAAATTAATTTTGCTTTTCGTTTGAACACATATATACATTTTTACATATACTTGCAAACAAAATTTTAATTATTACATAATTTTAAAACGTCTTTTATCCTAATAACAAAAGTATTTCTCGATTACTCGTTTCAATTTAAAACGGCTAAAACTAGAATAATGCAAACAGTTGCGGATATTTGCATGTAGATAATATGTAGCATGGAATTGTTCTGTTCACAATTGTAGAATGTCGCTATTTAGTGCACACTACATCATTATATTTTAAACTTTATGTACCGTATGTTACTCTATTCACTCCATTTTTTACCTTAGGTATATCGCATTTATATTTGGTTGACATATACAAAACTAAAACTAGCAATTTATATTAATAAGTTATTCAGGGATTTTCCGCTTATTTTTTATTTTTTTTTAACAATATTATGTTACTTAGAATTCTATTGAAATGAAAAATATTATCAAAAAACGGATTCACAGCGCAGTAATAAATGATATTAAAATGATACTATAATCTTACCTCTGTGCCTATTCGTTTGTTTGTCAAACATAAGCATAGCGTCCTCTATCTGGAATTAAAAGAATATTTAAATGTAAATTAACATTATATTTATACATTTACTGTTTTTTTAGATAAAAGATAGCATTCAGATAAAATTGATTTTTAGGTTAATAATTGTATTGAACTCATTGTGTGGAAATAAAGAAAAAAAAAGTTTAACAATATTTCATAAATTTTTTGAAAATTATGAGTACATCAACCGTAAATTAGTTCAAAGTTTTCTTGCGTTTTTCATCATTCACATAAAAATAGTGGCACATTTCTAAAATAAAAACATTTGATGCTATCTGGTTGAAACTACTCTTTCGCTTCTCATTTCTTTGATGAACATTTTTAATAAAATAAAAAAAAATAATAAAAAATAAAATGTATTTTAGAATAAGAATACCTGTTAGAAATCAAAATTTTGTATTATAATTTAGTCTTAAAGAAGATTCAACAAAGCACTGTACGCAGAACAAATAGAACGGGGGTTTTATTTTATTTAAATACTGTACATACTGGCGCAGAAACGGTAGGATGCGCTTTGTGTTTTTTTTTAGTTCAAATATATTGAACGTATAATACATATACGAGAAATATAATGCATTCATCCCTCGATAATACGGAACTAATATGTTCTCGAGATGTTGTCCGTAAATCGAGTCTTTTTTCTTACATTACGTAACAACCACAAAATTTTTTACCTATAAACATATGTAGGTACATATACATATTTCTTGTTAATTTGTTAAAAATGTAGTAGGATTTTATTATTATTACAACATTAGAAAACAAGATTCAAGAAGAAATTTTAGTTCTTGGAAAAAAAAACCAACATAAAGTCTTTGCTCTGATCTCTGTTTAATCGAAAATATTACATATACATACATAATTATAATCGTTTTTATGCATCTACATAATATTTAATATATGTTTGTGTATTTAAACAAAAAATTCCTAGAATTAAGTTTTTTTTTTATGTAAATTGTAATTTTTTAAACTACTTTTTTTTGTATTTTAAAAATTGTTTAATCCCTAAAAACAGACTTGTTTAATTTTTGATTCCGTACAAATCTCATGCCAAAGTTAGTATACCTTCACGAAGCTGCAGGGTATAAAAAATATTTACAAAAGTTAAACACAAAAAAAAAAATATTTTAACAAAGAATTTACCTATTAAATCGCATCTATACATACATTATAAATGAAATTTTGCAAAAAAAATTTTAATACAGTTGTGAAAAATAGTGTGATTCTTTAAAAATCAACTTTTTGATTTCAGTCATACAAAATAATAAATAAAATTTAAAAAGTTCAATAAAATTTTCAAAGTTTTTTTTCTCCACCTTTTTATGAAAATATTTAAATTATAGTTATGTAATGTTACATACACATATGTATACACAATAAAAAATTTTTTTTTTATTTCTTTACTGTACCCAATTTTTTATAGCCGTACGAACGTATGTTTGAAGGGTATACTAAATTTGCTTTACCGTTTGTAATCCTAAGAAATAACGGTTTGAGGCATAGACTCAAGTATATGTTCTTGATCAGCGTCGAATTCTGAGTCAATTTAATTTTGTCTATCCGTTCGTCCATCCGTCCCAACGATAACTCGAAAACTAATTGAGCTAGGTTTACCAAATTTTTACAAGCGATTTATTGTAGTAAGTGCCAGAACCCTATTTAAATTGGACAGGATCGGGTTACCGGTTCGAGAAGCTGCCATACAACTTCAAAATTTTTTTGGCTATACCTCCGAAATTATAAAAGCTATGGTATTGAAATTTCGCACAAACGAATATAGTAGCAGGGCCAATGTGTCTCATAAAAGTCGTTGAAATTACTTGGCTCCTTCTGGTACCTGCCATGCAACTTCAAAAGTTATTTGACTATATTTCAGGAACTATAAAAGCTATGGTATTGGAATTTTGCAAAAACGAATAAATTAGTAGGGCCAATGTGTCTTATAAAACTCGTTGAAATTGCTTGGCTCCTTCTGGCAGCTGTCGTACAACTTCCAAAGCTATTTGGCTATATCTCAGAAACTATAAAAGCTGTGGTATTGAAATTTCACACAAGCAAATATATTAGTAGGGCCGATTTGCTTAATAAAATTCGTTAAAATTTCTTGGCTCTTTCTGGTAGCTGCCATGCAACTTCAATAGTAGTTTGTCACAAACAGTATTTTGAAAAACACATAGCACTGAAATTTTGCATAAATTAATATGGTAATACGATAACTTAAAGTCATCTGTCCCATAGTCAGTTATGGCATCTTTATTCGCACATAGGATAACAAATTCGTACGGGTATCACAGAGTTGACAAGGTCAACTCTATTTTTTTTCTCGTTTTAAAATAATTTTAAATTTTCCTTCTATACTAGCAAATATAGAAATTTTTTGAAAATTAATTAACAAGAATATCTCAAATTATTCTTGTATATACAAAATAAGTAAACTAAATTTTCAATCTTGTGATCCTTATGTCCAGAAACATAACTTTAGACGAATTAACTACACTATTAGCCAATAACTCAATATAAACTCAACACTTTTCCATTTATATAAACAACCAAACTTGGGGGATGAGCTCAAATAAAAAGCCAAGAATCACCATCAACTGGCCCTCTTACTCTCACTATTGACCCATTAAAATATATAGGAAAATCACCACACTTTAACAAAGACTTTAGAAAGCTACAAAACTTTATTGATCTTTTGGAGAAAATACACCCTCTTTTGTTACATATATCAGAGAAAGTGATCAAATTAAATCCAAGTTGAAAGGGTGGGAAAAGGAAGCGGTTGAAATAAATAGCCACGTTATAAGTTCGTTAGAGAGTAAAGAAATATTAACTAATAACTTTGAGGATCAAATTAAAGTAGCTTAGAGGAGCAAATCGGATTCTTATGTGGTACAAATTTTAGAACGAGTTGTTTAGAATTTTATAATGACATAAAATCAGCCTTCAAAAACTTTAGAAGAAGCAATGGATATATTGCGTGAAGCTGGGTATACATACCGAAATTATGATCGAAGAACAAAAATAATTCTAAAGGAAAAAATTATAGCCTAAACCCTAGGAATAAGAGTTCAAACACTAACAATAATAGAAATAGCCAACAATCAAATCAAACGACTTACCCAAGCAACTTTCAACGAAACCAAAAGAACAATAACTATAATCATAAAGATAGCAGACAGAATAACTATTACAATTGTAACAGAAATAGGCCAAACAGTTATGGTTATGGTGAAAAAAATAACGACCATAGCAATTACAATAATTCACACAACAGAAATTTTTCTCTCCCAAGCCAAAGAAACACCAACTCACATTCCCGAATGCAAAGTACTCAATCATCAAACCTACCTCAAAATCCTTTTAGAAACAGCTTTTACCATCATGCAAACCTAAATCTACTACCGGAGCCGATGGCCATAAACTTTAACAAAGTTCATCGGAATGAGTAAGATAAAGAAACACCACATAGTCAAAGTTTTCATTTAGCAGCCTGGACAACGACTTTTCCTATATAATTGTTGATAGTAATAACACATATTCTATGATAGATCCAAATTTCTGACAATCAAAATATTTGCAGGACTGTTTAATTTTATTAAAGACGGCTCATCAAAAGTTAAAATAACTTAAGAAATAACTATTTCATTATTTAAGAAACTCAATGACCAAAAACAAAAGTATAAAATTATGTTTTTTATTTCCACTTCAATTGAAAATGGATTCTGAAAAAAAAAACTTTATTTATAAAACACGGACCATGAAATTACATTTTTTTGACAAACAGGAGAGTTTTAGTTAAAACCTTAACACAAAAAGAAATCGCAAATTGTTAATACCGGTACAGGTTGTCTAAAGGAGCAGAAATCCTTAGACGGTACTGTTATTCTTTGTGAGGGAATTTATAGTGTAGAAAATCAAAAAATTGGGGTGAATTTTAACATTGACAACGATTCAAGTCGTAAATTGAGTTGAACACAAAAATTTATTTTCCCAAACATCTTAGCAATCAGGAGAAAAAAGCACTGCATACAATTATAAGAAAATTCGATTATCGTAAGCTGAACGAAGTGGCGATGGATGACAACCTCGGCGACAACTTAGACATCTGAGCATGTCTAAATTCTTTAAAAAAGAAACAGAGCTCTTAGGACTGTTACTCTGGAGGGAGACAAAACCGAACCCAAAAAAAAAATACAGTGCGTTATGGAGTTTACAATGCAAAGAACTCCGAAACAAATGAAGCAGTTTCTTGAATTGACGGACTTTTATAGTAAACTTTTAAAATATTATTCCAAAATAGCCAAGTCCATTTCATAATATCTTCTAATAAAGAATTAATTCTAAAATTAATGTTAATGACCCGGAAAATAGGTCTAGTTTTGAATTGTTAAAGAAACTGTTAATTTAGGAACTGATTTTGAGATACGCAAATTTTGAGAAAAAAATTTACTGTAACTACGGATGCGAATCAGGATGTTTTGGAAACCGTACTCTTTCAAGAGGAGCATCCGATATGTTATGGAAGCACGACCGAAAAATAATTCTTGGGTGTGGTATGCACCACTAAATACTTTCGCGCATGTATACGAGTATTCGTATGAAAATTCATTATAGAAATAGACCACAAGCCACTACAGTGGTTTTTTTCAATAAGGGGGCATATTGAACGCAATACATGTAGAAGACCCAAATTTTTTTCGAAAGACTCCGAATTGTCCACCAGGAATATTTACCTAAAATCGAAATTATTCAATGTAGTAAAATTCAACAAAATGATACCGACGAGAAAACTTAGTCAAGTTGATATAAGAAGGCAATCTCAGAAACAACCATATAGCAATAGTGGGGATTTCTGAGAAGATGCATATAAATTATTATCAGCCAAAACTTTGTGTATTGCAGTTCAAAATAACTGTGGAATTTGTAACATTGAGGAATATGAGAGAAATCCTCCGAAATCAAAACTTACAAAGAAAATAGTTCACATAGACG